GTGGGAGAAGGTCAAAATCAGCTAATTCAAAGCAACAACTTACAGTAAAGTATCTGAAAAGCAGAGATGATATTCCAATCATCAGTTGTTGAACACCTACCAAAAGTCTATCATATTTAAATGATGTGATAGAGAAAATGGAGGACACTTGATATGCGGACTTGGTGGGTATCCATTCAATAAAGCATCCCTAATTTATAGATAAACTACCTATCCCGTGTCGGCGCAGATTCGGTTCGCCAATGTGTTCAGGCTATATGCCGAGACCACCGGTGGCCAATAGTTAGTGCTTGAGGGTAAACTGGAGAAAGTCACACGGAAAAACTGAACTTTCCAATACAAAGATTGCTAAATTACTTCATGGTAATTGTTATAGATTCAATACAGAAAAAGGGAATACTAGTTACTGATTTCGATTTCATCACAAGCAAAATACAACAGTGGATCCACAGAACGAGGCAGTTTATTTAATCTTGTTCGCCAACTGCCCGTTTGCCGAAAAAGAGATACACTGTCTATGATAGTTTCTTTTACACGTATATTTCCTACGATAACCGCAATGATAATGTAATATCATGTTTTGGGTTCCATAGTTGATTTATTTTCCTTACCTTCCGATTACTATTATGATACTGTAGCCGTTCTTCCACCGACAGTTTCGCAACGGCAGTTTTCTTTTCTTACCTCTTGTTCTTCTCCAAGTTTCCTGATAGATCCATTCAAGCTGGTCGTGATCATCAAACCACATACCAGAAGCCCTTTCACCCTAAACTGGTCATTAGCAACAGGACGGGTTCAATTTCCAAACCGTCATGTGTAATTGAGGATTATCAAGACATTGTTACACAACCGTGGCATACTTATCAGAACCATCAAAGTTCAGATATTAAGTAGCTATTTAGCCTCTCTATCAGGTAGCTAGACTACCGCAATGTTTCTCCTTCTTACTTAAGGACCCTTCTCCACCGGACACAATCGAATGTACCGTCGAGATTTAGTATTTATCGCCATTAATTGGCGATAGCTATCTTTCAGGGAATGTTTCCTAATTAGATATAGCAACTTGGATATTTCCAGGATTAAGTTTTGCTTTAACTATGATCGTTCTTTTAATGAGCTTGAAAAGCGTGCACCGACACAATTCCCTACTGTGAGCTCTTTATCGCACGCTTTCGTTGCATTGATCAGATCTACTTTCAGGCTTCCGCTGCCGTTGCTTGTAGTAACATTCTTTTCATTTTCTATCCCCATTCCCGTGATCAATGTAAAGACCCTATTTTGTTTTATTGTCCTCCTTTTCGAGAACT